TCCCTTCAACTTTTCATTTCTTCAATTAAGTCCCTTGTCTTAATTTCCTTCCTCTCCTTTTTCCAATCCTCTTTTGTTCGTAAACCTAACAAGGAAAACAAAGGCAAACAAATTACTAAAGATAAAATTCAAATAAAATTCTATTAAAATTTGAGTTATAACAAGCTCCTTTTCATTCACTTTATTATCTTGGCAACAAGTGCCCTAAGCTCCTTTTCAAATAGCTTCCTAGTAATAAGGGGAATGCCTAGATATCAAATAGGGAAAGAACCAACTTTAAATCCATAATTCTCAAAGTGGGAAGCAATTGTAACACTAAGAAGACCACCAAAAGGAAAAACTCATACTTAATATAATACCACTAGTCCATTGAAGTCAATACTATTCAACCATGTGGCTCATAACTCTAATGAACATTTACATACTTACTGCATCTCCTAGAAAGTTTTACCAAAGTCAATTTGGTTGTTGTCTTAACGCCACCATTCCATCAATGTTGATTCCATTCAACTATGTGGCACATAACTCCTATGAACATTACCACAATTGTTGCATTTATCAATAAGCTTCTTTTCAAGAACAATCTAGGAGTTTGTGACATTACAAAGCCTTTGGAAAATACAGCATGAAGATAGTGTTAATTTGCCAAAGAATTTTGGTTTCAAGGAAGACCTAAGTTAGAAGAAAAAGAAAAGAAAGAAATTTAGAGACGTTTAGGATATTGCATGTAATAAGCTAAGGGGTAAGGCACACAAGTGGTTATGTGTAAATTTCGAAACCTTTAAGGAGTGATGTGTACCGTACAAAACCATGCAGGTAAAAGGTAAATTTTCCTTATACAACAATGGGGGTTCGGTGACAAATATATTTGATCGGAGTGATGGGACGGTAAATAGAATTGGTAGTGAATGGTAGAAAGAGAACCGCGGCGTGCTCAATACAGAACCTAACCCCGATACGATACTCCGCCTTTTGGCCGTCTCTCCCTCCCGCTCCCATCCTTTGGCAGCTCTTTTCTGTTCAACAATTTTATCTTTTCATCACTTCGTGTTTTCCAACCTGATTCTAGGGTTTATATCTTCATTCTCTGTTATCCTGCAGAAACCCTAGGTACGAATCTCATACATTTGTATCTCTCTCTCCTTTGTGGATGCTATCTATGCTTGTTACGCCAATTACAGGGCTGAAAATTAGTCTTTCAGAGTCCCATCTACAGAGTTGTTCATTTCTTTGTGGGTGAAGCTCGTTTTTGGTCTTTCTCCCCTTTCTACTCTGGTTTCACTTTCAAGAGGATATTAGATTTGGGTCTGTTGTTAGTGCTATATACATGGACCACGAGGTGCTTGAATTTGACATTGGCTTAGGAGGTAGCAGTGCTCCTGAGGCCGATGACGATCCCTCCGCCGGCTTAGACGTGGATGAGGACATGGCTGACAGTCCTGCTCTTCATGTCACTACTCCGGCCGGTTCTAGGGTCAATAATGGTGGTAGTGGAAGTGGGGAGATTTACCTCCCTGAAGGAGACCTGTTGGATCTTGAGCCTTACGAGGGTATGGAATTCGAGTCAGAAGAGGCTGCTAAGGCTTTCTACAATTCATATGCTCGTCGTGTGGGCTTTAGTACCCGGGTAAGTTCTTCCCGTCGTTCCCGGCGTGATGGAGCTATTATACAGAGGCAATTTGTCTGTGCCAAAGAGGGGTTTCGGAACCTGAATGAGAAGAGGACTAAGGATAGGGAGATCAAGCGCCCCCGTACTATTACTAGAGTCGGGTGCAAGGCTTCTTTGTCTGTCAAGATGCAGGATTCTGGGAAATGGGTGGTTTCTGGGTTTGTGAGAGAGCATAATCATGAACTCGTTCCACCTGATCAGGTTCATTGCCTTCGTTCCCATAGGCAGATTTCTGGTCCTGCTAAGACCCTCATTGATACCTTGCAGGCGGCTGGAATGGGTCCTAGAAGGATTATGTCTGCGTTAATAAAAGAATACGGTGGGATTAGCAAGGTTGGCTTTACAGAGGTTGACTGTAGGAATTATATGAGGAATAATCGACAGAGGAGCTTAGAGGGAGACATTCAGCTTCTTTTGGATTATTTGAGGCAAATGCATTCAGACAGCCCAAACTTTTTCTATGCTGTGCAGGGTGAGGATCAGTCTACCAGCAATGTCTTCTGGGCTGATGCGAAGGCCAGGACGAACTATACTTACTTTGGTGACACTGTCACCTTTGACACAACTTATAGGTCTAATAGGTATCGCCTCCCCTTTGCTCCCTTTACTGGGGTAAACCATCATGGACAGCCGGTTTTATTTGGCTGTGCTTTCCTAATAAATGAGTCTGAGGCATCATTTGTCTGGCTATTTTCTACGTGGCTAATGGCAATGTCTGGTCGCCCTCCAGTGTCAATAACCACTGACCATGATCCGGTGATAAGGTCAGCCATCATGCAAGTTTTTCCTGACACTCGCCACCGGTTCTGCAAATGGCATATCTTCAAGAAATGCCAAGAGAAGCTGTCCCATGTTTTTCTCAAGCATCCAACTTTTGAAGCAGATTTCCATAAATGTGTTAACTTGCCTGAATCCATTGAGGAATTTGAATCTTGTTGGTTGTCCCTTTTAGATAGATATGAACTGAGAGATCATGAATGGCTTCAGATGATATACAATGATCGCAGGCAGTGGGTCCCTGTATATCTGCGGGACACTTTTTTTGCAGAAATGTCCATAACTCAGCGAAGTGATAGCATGAATTCATACTTTGATGGGTATGTGAATGCTTCAACCAATTTGACTCAGTTCTTTAAGCTTTATGAGAAAGCTCTAGAAAGTCGAAACGAGAAAGAAGTAAAAGCAGATTATGACACAATGAACACTTTTCCTGTTCTAAAGACCCCATCTCCAATGGAGAAACAGGCGTCAGAGTTCTACACAAGAAAATTGTTTGTTAGATTTCAAGAGGAGCTGGTTGGGACTCTAACATTCATGGCGTCTAAGGCTGATGATGATGGGGACATCATCACGTATCAGGTAGCAAAGTTTGGGGAGGATCATAAAGCATACTATGTTAGATTCAATGTTTTGGAAATGAAAGCAACTTGTAGTTGCCGAATGTTTGAATTCTCAGGACTTCTTTGTAGACATGTTCTGGCAGTCTTTAGAGTGACCAATGTCCTTACTCTCCCATCTCATTATGTTTTGAAACGTTGGACACGAAATGCCAAGAGTAATGTTATATTAGAAGAACATGTGGCTGATGTATATACTAATTATCTAGAATCTCATACAGTCCGCTACAATACCCTTCGTCATGAGGCCTTCAAGTTTGTTGAAGAGGGAGCAAAGTCTCTAGAAACTTATAATGTGGCAGTAACTGCTTTGCAAGAGTCTGCTAAAAGAGTTTCTCATTCCACAAAGAATGAGGGTCGAATTAACATGCTGAATGGGCGTATTAGGGGAGACTCATTATGTGATGGAAATCAAGTCAATAATACAAGCGGAGATAATAAAAAATTCAGTAGCCAGGCTTTGTCTGAGGTCAGTACTAATCAATATTCTATTATTTCTGTTGTTTGCTCTGGTAATGTTTCAATTATATATATTAAATTTTAGCAATCTTTTTGGTTTCTGATTATACTCATTTATACATGTATCTTCCTTTTTCATCTTCTTGGATTCCTGATGTTTTGTTTTATTTAGAGCTTGATATTGTAGCATTGCTGATAGCCTTACCATTTTAAAACAATTTCCTGAATTTGACATAAAGCATATTTCTTTTATTAGCTTCTACATGTTAAGTGGCTGGGTACTTAATTGAATGTTCATTTTCTAGGACATGATTATAGTTGTCACCAGATGTGGAACCAGGAATTTAGTTTTAGACAGGCCATTTAGTTTTCTAATTGTATTTTTCATTAGCATGGTTTAGTCCAAAGTTCAGATAATAGGTAATAGATCATAATATAAACCTTAATAATAGCCTAAATTGTAAATAATGTTACTCTTAATTAATTGCCCATCAATGTCATTTAATATTACTATCTTAATGGCAACCGGACTACTGTTCTATGGTAGTCAAATGCTTTTTGGGACTCCCTTGGATTTTATGCCTTCCCTCTCTCAGCCACTCTCTTAGTTCCAATCTAGAATCCTTTGAGCGTCTTATCACGAAAGCTAGTAAGCTTATGAAATGAACAAAGAGGAGTTTCATTTGATAGCACTCATCTAGAAATTCTAATTATGATAAAATAAACCACAACATATATATATATATATATTTGATAGAAACATTACTATATTAACATATTTAATTGTTAAATCCAATGGTATAGTCAAATCAAGGGACACATTACATTATTCTTTGTACATACATAGATATAATGTGATTTACAATTAACTGGATAATTTTAATGATACTAAAAATGTATGTAAATTATTCTTGTTGATATTGATTTAATTTGTGAATGTACATAAATTTTTTTCTGTACAAATAGACAATAAATTAACACATATATGGTATTTAAATTTAGCCTTGATTTGATTTCCCTCTATTGCATGTAATCTCCACGAAAATGGGTGTTTTTAATTGTGTAATTCCTAATTGAAGTTGAAAATTTTTTTTTAATTAAATTTGAAATTAAAGAAACAAGAGAACTTGGAATGTGAAATTATACTTAATTGAGTTTGCATTGAAACCTTTATAGAGAAAAGAAAGTAAAAACTTCTGCAAAAGGTTCTGCCCCTGCTTGTCACCCATGGTAGGAAATATGTCTGAGCTGATCTAAAAAAGAAAAGAGAAAGGAAACTATGCATGGAAGTGCCTCAGCAGCTTCTGACTTGAAACCATGATGAACCTGGACATCCATTTGGGTGGCATGTCTCTCTTGGGTGTAATGCATTTACTTCTTAGATTCTGACAATTATGGTTCTTACTAGATTGTACTTATGTCTTGGTTCTTTCAGTGAAAATAATCCATCTGAATTAATGTGTAACCTTACTAGATACATGCATTGTAAGAATTTCATTCTTGTTAAATCTAGGTTGTGCTGTTATAATGCAACTTTGCCTCATGTTTGTCCTGTAAATAATGTTATGTATGCTGTATTCATGTTAATATTCTGTTTCATATTATTCTTGTTCCACATCAATCTCATGACAGTTTTTGGTCTGAGATGTCAAATGTATTGTATTAGTTTGTTATTGTTCTCAAAGGCATTGTTTATTCAAACTGTATGTTATAATTATAATTGTCTCTGCAGCAGGCTTCTGTGTTGTTACAACCATGTAGTTTTTATACCTATGATGTGATCTGTAGTGAGGGACTCATAGCATATAACGTGGCATGATAAGGTATTGCCATTATCCAGCCAGAAATCACTGAAATGATAAAATGAAATATTCAGAAGAGGAGCAGAGTCTGAATAGTTTTTACCCAGAAAATTAGGCTTCTTGAACATGGTTAGACTGAAAATACAGTAATTTCTGGGAAGAATCTGTGCAACACAATTATATCTTACAACTTTAGCTCTTAGACTAACCTAGTTCAATTATCAATACTTGTGGTGGGAGCAATAACATTTTCTAATTGGAATCTGTGTGTGTTTGCAAAATAGATAGTTTATTCCAATAAATGTTAAACCTCAGCACATACCGATAAGAATGGAGCCGTTGATCTTGACTTTGGATGTGTCATTTCTGTTGTCACACTGAGGTTAAGGAATATACTTTGTTTGAGATTTTTTATTGCATGCTAATAGGCCAGACATTAAATCTTGTGTTCAAGTTCTGTAATTTTGTGTTCCAGTTCTGTCTACTTGCCAACTAAACAGAATTGTTGTGTTAGACCGTACCCATGATGAATTTTGATATTGTCTGTACTGGCCTTTTAGTTTTATTTGCAAGTCGCCTGAAAATGCAACATAAGGTCAACTTATCTTTGAACTGATTGGATATTTTGTATTGATGGTACTTTACTGTGCAGGATGATATGGACAAGCGAATTCAAGAACTTACCAATGAGCTGGAGTATGCAAAACGAAAATGTGAAGTTTACCGTTCTAACTTGCTGTCGGTTCTAAAAGATATTGAGGACCACAAGCTACAGTTGTCAATCAAAGTTCAAAACATAAAGATCAATATGAAGGATGGCCTTTGAGGTGCAACACAATTCTCCCATGCAGTTTCATTCCCTTCTATTCTTCTTCATATTCTCATTATCTTGTATTTCAAGTCTTTCATGAACCCTACTTACCGGGCTAAGCTGATCACTCAGCTTTGGATGTTGCATAGAAATTAAGAAAGGCTTCATTCTGTATCGTCCTGTACAGAGTATGTGTATTTTAGGTGAATATTTTTCAAATTGAGAATAGTTTCTTTTTGGAGAAATATAGGGTGACCGGTGGCCCGTGTCAATAATGTTGTCTGAGGAAAAATTTATAGTGACCATCTAGCTAGTAGATCATAAGCATAGAGTTTGCAAATATTTGTGGTTAAAAAGTTTGGATCTTTATTGATTTGGCTTATTGAACGAATGACTGAATGACAATCTTACATGTAAATGCGTTACTTTGGTTTGTAACTCTGTCAAATTCTCTATTGGTCGCTATTTTGTTATTGTTAGTCTCCAAATTTCAGCTGTGACCATCCAAGGCAAATCACCTTTGCATAACGGGAAATGCATATAACGGTGTATTACTAATTACTTGACTGCAACATTAAGAGAAGCTTGGGATTTGTTGGGCGGAAGGTTCGGATGCTCGTATTGAGAACGTCGATCATCATTCAGTATTATGACTATTGTGGTGGCTATTTTCCTTGGATTCAGAGCACTTTCTTCTAACTCTTTTTTTTTTCTTTTTTTTCTTTTTTTTTTTTTGAACATATTACAATTTGGAGGAAGGGGGATTGGAATCCCAACCCTAAGGCTAAAGATGCATTTTATGATAAGACATATAATTATCAAACCGCGAAAGTTAAGTGCATTTTTTTCTAACCTATGATTATGATTGAAGAGTGCCTTTTTAATTAGAGGTTGGAATGGAAGACACCTTAGGGTGAGCTTGGTTGATGGAATAGGTTTTCCATGGTTAAAATATATTTATAAGGTAAATTAGTGAGAGTAGAAGGGATTTGGAATACATATTTCTTAATTTTATCAATTTTTTCTGACAATGTGAAATTGTTGAATAAGATAGGAATATTTATAATTCCCTCTACTCTTTTTTAATTGTCTTTCTCCCTCAATTTTATATCATATATCTTGTAAATAAATAAAAATTGAAAAAAAATTTTGATCTAAGTAAAAATATTTAACAAAAATTACATATAGAAAGAAAAAAACCTTTCCAAGTATAATATAGTTACTATATAAAATATTAATATACTTACTATATAAAATATCTAGTCAAACTTTATGCCTTGGCCAAAAATGGAAAACCTTTTTTTTTTATATTTACGCTAAGGTTTGATAAAGGACTTCTCCCAATAAGTAGTTGTGGAGAAATGATTGGTTCATTCTCGCCTTCTAAAAGTGCTGACTGCTATCACCAATCCCAATTTGGAAGGCTTGGACAGCTTTTCTTGTGTTCTTTTTCGATGGCATGATGACTTGAATATAGAAAAAGCGGATCTAAGAACTATAAGTGAGACACCATGTCTCACTAGGCATGCCACTAAAGGATTGTTTCTTCAAAAATCTTAAAGGGGCATACACATGACAAATCTAGATGTAGGGTATGCCACTTGCTTTTCTGTAAAGTGAGAAAAGAGGATTTTCCTAATGACCCTCTCCTTCCACATGATTGATCTCCATTAGGATGGCTCTAAGAACATCGGTTTAAAGTTGTAATCTGCGTCTTCAGATGATTTGCAAGAAAGAGAGATGCTTTCATGTAAAATGAGTTATTAATCTATTTACACCATAAATTGCATTTTTTAAGTGATGTCACGTGTTAATGGATAAGGTAAGATTAAATCCATTGAAGGGATGCGTATCTGTAAAGTTGGTTGGGAGGATAAATGTTATCTGGTTTGTTGTAGTTTGAATTTAAAAGAAACAAAAGCCCTAGAATTTGGGAGGAAGTTATCCATAATCTGATCAGCCAAGAGACAATTGCACGAATGATACACATAAAAGCTTTTTGATTTTTCAACAGACACGACCAGTCCTACACAAAAACTCATCAATTTTTCAATTCTTTAGTTTCGTAGTGACTGCTCATCTTAGCTTTTATATTTCAATTTTAGCACAGATTCTAGTAGATTTAAGTTGTTTTTAGCATTCAAGTCCCCAAATTAGTTTGTGTAATTGCTTCTTTGACTTCCTTTCGTGCAATAAACATCAAGTTTACTCTAATTTGCATTTCATTCAATTCATTTTGAATCTATTAACTTAAATTTATGGTATTGGTAAAGTCCTTGAGATTGTTCAAGGCAAATTAACAACTCATTCTGTAGGAAGGCATCCCTCCCTCTTGCAAATCGTCTGAAGGGTGCAGAACTCAATCTTAAACCAACGTTCTTCCAGTCATCCTGACGGAGGTTGACTACATGGAAGGAGAGGGTCATTGAGAGAATCCTTTTTTCTTGCTTTTCAAAAAAGTAAGTGGCACGTCTATATCCAAATTCCACACGTGCAAAGCCACTTGAGGATTTTTTAGGAACATAATCTATCTTAGATAACTCTGAGAACTTAAACATTATCGTGAATTAAAGTTAATATATCGTAAATGAATTAAATGAAATGTAAATTGAAGTAAACTTGCAAATGAAAGATGCATCCAAGTTAAACTAAACATATTCATTGTTGAACTAAACTACAATCTATGGACAAAATTGGAAATTTAATCAAATTATCTAGACTGCTTGAGACAAAATGATAATGAAACTAATATGAATAGAGAGTAAACTAACATGCCAACAACTAAGAAGAAGCATGAACATCATATAAGTAATCATTTGAGGAAAAACGCTACTTATCATAAACCTTACACAAACACCAATCAGAAAAGAAATAGCACCTTGTGAAAATTGAAAAGCTTGATGTTCATTATATGAAGGTAGATTGCTAACAAAATCTACAAGTGCTAAAACTAGTTATAAGTTGTGTGTAAGACTAACCGTGTGTTGAATGATCAAAAAATTCACTTCTGTTTGTTCTCTTGAAGCCTAAAATTCCCCACTTCTTGATAGTTGCAAAAGATGGGCAGTTTCATAAGAAAGATGGAAACCTCAACAATGGACTAAGTCAGAACACCTTCGAGATCTCACAATCTATCCCTATTTTTTACCAACTCAATCTTCCAACTAAATTGTATCCTAAAACGTAGTTGTAACAAGTCCACTTCAATTCAAATTGGCAATTAAAAAGATAATCATTATCGTCTTGAAATTAATCATCCATTTGGCAAGTGATTTGTTAAGGCATTAAATAGCAAGTGTAACATGGCAGTATCTTGTCCATCCATTCAAAAATAAATGACACGTGATGTCATTTTAAATTTTGTAATTTATGGTATAAATAGTCTTTAATTTTATCTATAATTTTATTAATTTATAGTTTTTTCTTAAATAATTAATTATGATATTTGAAAATATCTTTTAAAAAATTGATTTTATTATGTTAAATAATAAATATTAATTATTTTATTAATTATCATTTGTTTTATTAAGATAAAAATTTGACAATTTTAGTGGCTCTAACAAAAGCAATTGTAACTATAACCATTCTGGACTCTATAAAAAAAAAAAATTGCCTAACCCTTAAAGTATGTAATGTGCGTAAATTCCTGTTTTTTTAATTGAAATAATATATGTCCTTACGAGATATTTTAATGATTAAAAATTTAAATTCACATATTAGAGGTTTTAACTGTGAATTTAAGATGGATAGAAATAATGTTGAAAGGAGAAAATTTATTTTTTATAACATAACTGATCACTAGATGTCTGAAAAAAAGAAAAAAAGAAAAAGAATCAACCTATAGCTACATTTCCCCCCACATTTTTACTGGATATATTATGCATGCTTTAAACCTCAATATTGTGGCTTTTGCTGGCAGTGCATCATCAGATTAACGAGATTTTCTAAACTCTTCATCACTGCGCCTGGCAGTGCATCATAACCGTTGTAACTCTGAGCTTAATCGTAGGCTCAATAGCTGTTATGAGTTTCACCAAAGCACGAATGTATGCCTCGAATCATTATTGCTTAAAGCGTTTGATACACATCATTATTGTTTTGATATGTTGTGGCTGTGGTTTTTCATATGTTGTGTTATTGTAAAAGTTATACTGACATTTGATAATTATGTTCACAAAATATTAATACATAATATTAAAGTATTGGAAAAAATCAGGATGTAATAGTTAAAATATTAAAAGAATGTTAATGAAAAAATTAAATATTTTTAATAAGTTAATATAAAAAAGTATTTATTAAAAGTATTTAAATAATTTTACAAAACATTTTAATATTTAAAATGTCAAAAAGTCTTAATTTTTATTTTTATTGTTAATTAAAAAAAATTAAATATAATAAAATTAACATTTTTAATGATGTCTCCGCTACAGACAGTGAGACAACAATCTCAAATGTAACCCTTTTCATTCAATTTAACAAATTAAGCTTTTCATATGGGTTTGAGGCGGCCACTTAAATCCTTTCAACTCCAAAATATGGCTCTTTATTTATTTATTTTTTTTCAATTTTAAGTTTCATAATATTTTATTTTAAATTGCAAGCCAATTCTCTTAAATTTCTTAATTCATATTACTTATCTACAATACAATTTGAACTCATGCTATCTTACTTATATTAAAAATAAAAAATTACACTTATATTTAGTTCGTTTGTGCCACTTCGAACTTTTAGAATTTATCAAGTCATTGTTCACCTTTCCTTTCACTTCATATGGGCTTTTTATTTCGTTTCACTTTTCCTAACGATGCTACACAAAATGTTGCAAATCAACTTCCATGTCATTTACTAAGTCCTTGCGCATTTGCAGAAACTGATGTCTTATTACAACTGCGTCTCTCTATCAATCCCTTCCTAAATCCTAAGAAGCTATTACCAATATTCTGTGAGTATTTGAAACATAGAGATGCACTATATTGCTTTTCAAATTACTTTTCACTCTTTTAAACTAAGCCTTGCATTCTGAACCTTGACAGAAAGCTTCAACTTCTCTTCCTCCATATCCCTTAAAACAGCCAGCAGGTTTGATCGGTACACTTCACATCGCTGATTTACGCTTTCCAATTCGGTTGTCAATTCATGGATTTTCTTTCTCTTCTCATCCTGTAGTACACAGAGCACGGGAAATAATTTATTATGTCATGATTTTAGATTGAAAGCACAATGTGTGCGCGCATTCACTAAAGTTGTTGAAACTCTCCACTACAGATATCGAAATGCATCCAATGGCAATAGGAAAGAACGATAGATGCAATCAAAGATTGCAGCAACTTTACTGGGTCTGAGATGATGTTCATGCTAATCTAGCACCAAAAGAAAAGAAATGTGAATAATAAGGAAGCCAGGGTAACTTTTATTTTTTCTTTCAAGTTATTGGGCACATGTTTAGCAGATCAGTAGATTTTCAACATGGAATGACTGATCACCTATGAAATATTCAATATTACAAAAAAAAAAAAAACCTAAAGAAAAAGGCATGATGAAGCACATTTTTTAAAGAGTATGCATATTATCCTTCTTTAGATAAGTAATCTTCTAACTACAAAGTTATAGTTAAATACAACAAAACCATTAAACATACTTTTTCTTATTTAAAAGAAATTTCAGTAAAAACTTAAAGAAGACAAATATAGCTATAAGGGACGACTACCTGAGTACAAGAGTGCAAAAAACTTGTGAGGTTCTAGATCTTATTCACTGAAATAACTAAACAAATACAACCCCATTTGTAAAATGAAAGAGCTCATTTTGGACCATCATTTAGAAGGAGATCAAAATAAATGGAATTGAGGTAGTTGAGCTTCAAAAAATCTACTCTCTTTATATATATATATAAGAGATCCACTTACACACAAGTCTTAGACACCACACTTATACAACATTTCAACCACTTATCTCTTTACTTTTAATTGTTGAAATTTATCACGACTTTTTAGGTGAAAAAAATAATTATCTTTAATAAATGTGAACAAATCTCAACCATAACCATGTTGAAAGTGAAGAAATGAATGGTTGAGACTTTGTGTAAGTGTAACATGTAAGACTTATGTATAAGTGTAGCATGTAAGACTTGTGTGTAAGTGAATCCTTACTTTATATATATATAGAGAGAGAGAGAGCGAGAGGAGAAGGATCCACTTACACAAAATTCTTACACACCATACTTATACAAATTCTTGATCATTCATTTCTATATTTTTAATGATTGAGATTTATCATGACTTTTTAGAAGAAGAAGATATTATCTTTAATATATGTGAATAAATCTCAACCATTGAAAGTAAAGAGATGAATGGTTGAGATTTTGTGCAAGTGTGGTGTATAAGATTTGTGTATAACTGAATCCCTACTCATATATATACATATATATGAAGAAAGGGAGGAGGCAAGGAAGTACAACTACAAAAAAATTTAAATCATCATCCCAATACTTGCAAGAGAAAACCGAAGAAAATGCCACTATATTAGAATGAAAATAATTTTACTCCAACAATACCATAAAACGGATAAAATAGAAGGAAAACCATAAAGCATTGACAGAAGTCAGCTCAGGGAGAATTTTGTAAAAGTATATATGTTTTACCAGTTCAATGAATTGAAGTTGTGATTTGAGGAAAATGCCTACAGAAGTTTTTAATGAACTTATGTCCAATAATTGACAAAAGAGGCACTGATTATATTTTAATTTCCCCATACACAATAATTGCATTAATGATATACCAAATTTATCAAATAAAACATTAAAAACAATATTTACTATGGATAGTTACTCAATCCTACTTTTGGAGGAAATTAGTACGCCATTGGTTTCACTCAATTATTGAACCAATTAGCAAAATAAAATAGCATTCTAGAGAAGCTAAAACAATAGTCACATGATTCATAACAACAAGCTAGAAAGGTTGTAAAGCAAGAGAAACTAACCGCAGATTGATATGATGCTGTTTGAATGTTTTCAGGTGCATTTATCTCTGAATTACCTCCATTCATCAGAGTGCCATCCTGTGTGCCAAAACCTTGATTCTTCAAAGCAGCAACCTTTTTTGTGGCCTCTTGTAAAGCTTCCATTGCCACATGATAAATGTGAATAGATTTTGCTCCTTCCTCTACATATTTGACTGCTTCTTGGCGTAGATTGTTATACCTAATTGTTAAAGAGTCTTGAGAATTATTTGGCATTTCAGAAGCATGTTCCTCCAACACAGCTCCACTTTTGGCATTTCTTGTCCACCGTTTTAATACATATTGAGGAGGAAGGGTCAAAACATTTTTTGCTCTAAAAACTGCTAATATGTGCCTGCAAATTATTCCTGAATATTCGAACATTTGGCAGCTGCAACCAGCTTTGACCTCACTAGAATTGAAATTAACAGAGTGTGCTTTGTGTACTTCCCCAAATTTGGCCACCCGATACGTAGAAAGAGCACCCAAGTCTTCAATTTTGGTAGCAGGATTGGCAAGGGTCTCAACCAATTCCTCTTGGAATTTCATAAATATTCTTCTGGTATAGAGATTAGCTGCTTGTTTTTCCATGGGAGATGGTGTCCTAAGAACTGGCATGGTGTTGCTAGTGTCATAGTCTGCCTTTAGTTCTTTTTCGTGCCAACTTGCTATGGCTTTCTCATACTGTTTAATCAACATCTGTACAGTGGTTGATGCATTCACATGCCCTTCAAAGAATGAACTTAAATCCCCATTTACACCAATCATGGATAATTCCCCAAAGAAGGTATTTCGCATATACACAGGAACCCATTGCTGCCGAACATTATATATAGACTGAAGCCATTCATTATCCAAGACAACATATCTTTCCAGAAGTGATGCCCAAAATGACTCAAACTCATCAACTGTCTCTGTCTCATTAATACACTTCTTAAACTCTGCTTCAAAAGTAGGATGCGACTCATAAATATGAGTCAGTTTCTTTTGGGTTTCACTAAATATGCCCCACTTATTGAAACGAAGCCGAGTTTCAGGAAAAACTTGTGAAACAGCCACCTGTATGAGCCGGTCAGGATCAGTTGTGATAGAGATAGGATGACGGCCAGACATTGCATGAAGCCAAGTCTGGAACAGCCAAGCAAAGGAGGACTCAGACTCATTCAGAATTAGAGCACATCCAAACAACACGGGCTGCCCATGATGATTTAGTCCCGTAAATGAAGCAAAAGGTACCCGGTAGCGATTTGTCCTGTATGTTGTGTCAAACATTACCATATCCCCAAAGTAAGTATAATTTATCCTGGCTGTTGCATCTGCCCAAAATATATTTCCACCAGTGTTTTCATTATCACCCTGAATTGCATAATAGAAAGCAGGATTCTCAGCTTGCATGCGCTTCAGATAGTCCAATATATGCTGTCCCCCACCCCCAAGGGTCCTTTGCCTTCCTGCACTCATGTGTCTACAAAACCCAGCTATAGCAAGGGAAACGAAAATAACAAACTTAAATCATCACCAAAGTTCTTCACCAACAGAATGAACAACAGCCATGAGTAACGTATCAAAAAGAGATGAAAGATTCGTTTAATCAAAGACTCAGTTATCACAGCTACAGTATAAGGAAGTTTTTACAAAATTAACAGCTTCTATACTATTGCTACTTCATAATAGATAAATAATGTTTACATTTAGTTATTTTTAAATTTTCATTAGAATTTACAAGGCTGTAGCCTTTGTCTATCATTCACCCAGCTAAATTAGTGGGAAAAATAGAATAGAATTCTATAAAAACAAGAAGTGTCAATACAGTCTTCAGTAATGTCAGCTCCACAACCATTATCTTTCCTTTCTATCCACATCCATCATTGTAAATCAACAGCAATTACCAATATTGATATCTATGTTTTAGAGAGAATGCTGTTTCTAGAGAACAAAGTGAAGAAAGGAAAGCTACAACCTTCAACTATAATTTCGAATCCCCAAAAACAGGAAAGCTTCTAAATGCAATTTATAACATTTTAAGTAAAGAAAATCGAATTCAAAGCACCAACATGCTTTCAGACAAGACATAAATCCTCCTAATCAAGAACATACTAATGTAAATGAAACTCGGAGCAAAGAGAAGCTGCATAGACAATTAAAAAGAAGAAAACTGATAGCAAATTGGTATAGAGTAAGACTAAAGAAAAGGAACTGACCTAAAATCCACTTCAAATGAAACGGGAATTTGCTAGGGAAAGTTAGGATTGTACTCGTTCTTCACAGCGTTTGAAATGCAATTATGGGGTTAACAACATTGACCTCCTTTCTTTCTCCGTTGCGCAGACACAGACGCAGACGCAGATGCGAAAGAAAGATGCGCTCCTCTTGCCTCGTCAGTCGGCTACTTGCAGAAGCTGAGAAATTCACTAGTGGATTACAATTTGGTCTCTATCCAAGTAGGATGATATTTATAATATGGGGCATTCCTTTTACCTAATTTAATATGTAGTACCAGAGGTTTCTCAGCCTTGAATAGTTAAGGGCCTGTTTGGTGTGGATTGTGGGAAGAGCTTTTCGGCTCTAGAAGCACAAGCCACACCAAACGGGGTAGTTTCTTGAAGTGGCTGCAGCTTTTGAGAAGCTCAGCTTCTCACTTTTCCTTTGCAAAGGTAGGAAGCTCCCATTTCTTACTTTCGCGACAGTTTTCAACTTTTGAATTAATGAAATTGACATGATATCTCCATTTTATCCTCACACTTCCTTTTATTTACAAAAAAACCACTATATAATGTTTCAAAACACCACATTTCTGCCCCATTCTTCACCATTCTTCACTGTCTTCTTCCTCATCCAATTCAATTAGAGAGACAAACAAAAATTCTTCCTCATCCAGTCAGAGAAACAAACAGAAAATCATTATCGAAAATCCCTCATCTACGAACTTAGGAGCTGAATTCGCGACGAACCCCGTATTTGGGTTCCGAGACGAACCCAAGAGCTGGGTTCACGACAAACCCCACGCCTGGGTTCGTCTCGAAACCCAGGCGCTAAGGTCGCCAGGAACCCAGCGCCTGGGTTCGTCGACGAACCTAGGAGCTGGGTTCACGATGAAGCCCATGCCTGGGTTCGTCTCAAAACCCAAGAGCTGGGGTCGCCAGGAACCCAAGAGCT